TTTCAAAGGATTATTTTACACTTTTAGCACCATGGTTACATATTCTGAAATTTGTTTTCATCTGTTAACATTTACTGAATGTGATTTGTCTATATTAGTTTTTTTCATTGAAATATTATTAATATTTTCCAAGTCTTTTTCATTTTCCAGTTCTTAGGAGAAAAAATTCTAAATCCCATCCACTTTTCTAAACTTATGACTTGATATTTAATCTTTTTCAAAGAAATAAATTGTTCGTATCATCTGTCCTTAAATCCAAGATCTTCTAGAATGCAATTTATAATATGAGCCTTACAAACGAAGACAATGTTGTTACCTGCTTTTTCAGCAGGAACCAGTACGTACTGATCGTGTAATCTATCTAACTCCTTTTTCACTTCTGGTTTATTGAACACAGAAGGATATATGGTTTTCATATTGTCCCTCAATCTTTTAATACGGGGCTTTAACATGCATATGGATCTGATACATTTAATCAATTCTGACAAGGTGTCAACGTCTTCTTTTTCATATCTTGCCTATTGTCAGGTGTAATTTTCCACAGAATCCATAATATTTATGAAATTCCGACGCCAGTTGAAGGATCAGGGTTCCCTATATTTAGGACCTTTTAAAATAAGTGATCTAAAGTCCTCATTACGAACTATATTTACGTCACCTGTAATAACGTGTCCAGCAGGACTATACTTATAGGGCGAAGAAGAACATGAACACGAAGGAGGATTATGTTACAGATAGTCGGTATCCAGGCCATGTAAAGTGTTTTTGTAATTTAAAGCAATGGTCGATGTATATTTGTAGGAAATACAAGGTGTAGTCTTTAACTACTTAGGGACATCACTTAGTGATTTAGTGCTCACAGTATCTCTAGTTTATATTAGCATTTATACTCAAATTGTATCATTCATTTTCTCTATAGATTTCGTACAATCGCGTGACTGAATGTTTTGCCTTAACGACAAATTTACTTTAACCATTAAGTCGCGAAAATTATCTCAAGTATATAAAATGCAATAAAGACAGTGATTGTCATGATTTTATATTTATTTGGTATTTTGTGTCTTCTATTTCCGTCATTTATTCTATAATACATTATGTAAAAGGCTTTTGCTATCATTGCAAGACATCACAAATCACTTCTCATTTCATATCAAGCTAATAAGCATTGATATCTATGGCTGGATTCAAGAAAATCTTATTTCTCTAAAACTGTATTAATTTTTCCTCCTTTTAAAGGGTACAAATATAAACTTTTATAGGATCTTTTTCTAAGACTTCCAAAGACTTCGAATCTTATAAAGATGAATAAAATGAAAATAGTTGCATGAAAAAAAAAACATTTACAAGCTTCAATTTGATGCATTTCAAATAAAATATTAATTTTTGGAGTTATCCTCCCTGGCTGAGGATTGGATATCCTTAACTAGTATATTATCAAACTTGAATATATTTATTTTTCATTAGTAATATTTATTATAAAGCTTGCTCGCATTGTTCAGAACATAATTTGTTAAAAAAAAGAATAAAAGATTGTTATCCCGCCGTATTAAATTCATAAAGATCGCATTGTTATTTGCCAACCACTATATTAGCCTCAATTTTGTTCAGAGTTCAATGTATTTTGCTTCACTTATTTACCTGAACAGTCGTCTCTATCTAAAAATACTTTTGTATGCCTCTGTATAGTCAGAAAATTACAAAACTATTTGATGTCACGTGAAATAAACACAAAAATACCTTCAACACAATAAAACTTAAACAAAGAGACAATGTAACATATACGATTACATGTACTATATGCATCAGGAACCAGGTAAATTTAGTTAGGTGTAGCAAAAGCAGAGTTTAAAGATCCATTGCTGACATACTAGACAGGAAAAATTTGCATATGCATATTTACATGTCGTGTTCAGTTTTTAGTTGTTACTCATTGTACCTGCCACCACGACCTGACATTTATTTGGAGTAGTAATATTTTTCAATTTAACAATGCAGTTAAATCTACATACGGCTTGTTTTAAATCACATTCTTGCAAAGCCACAGCAAACTGTTTCGGCCATGGACACCAAAATCGCAATATTTAAAAAAAAAACAATTGAGCATGCGTTTGACAATGGAATCGATTGGCATAATTTCTCAAAGACAATCCTATCCACAGACTCTGCAAAAGTTGATTCAAGATCTACATTCAGAGAGGGATAGCATTCGTATATATAGTTTTTAATATACTCATTTACCTTCACTGAATGTCGTTGTAGGCTTTCATTTGTGGCTGTGTGGGGCATACCGGATATTGATCATCATCTTTAATTTTCTTTTTTGTTCTTTTTTTTTTTAAGTACATTTATTTAATACTATTGGTTAAATTTGTTTAAAAAATTTAAAAGGGAAACAGCTGAACAAGAAGAACAAAACCATTGGTGTTTTAAGACGACAACATTTAACAGATAAGGTATACATTTAGCAACATTCATACAATACTTTGAACACTTGCGTGCAAAGTCATTCAACGAAGGATTGAAGTAAAATAATGATTTTTTTAATCTGCATCAAAGTCTATTGTTGAAAAAGGACTGTATGATATTACAGGATATATAAGCAAATGAAAATGAGTCTTATGTTCTCTTGGGTATAGATTTTTACACTTTATCTATTTGGAAAAATATAAAAACACATGTATTCCTTTCTTCTTACAGTCTATAATCGCTCTTAGTGTAAAAACAAATGATTTTCAAGACAGGATTTCATTTGTATATATCTATTCTGACTTACGTTGGGTCACCTTTTTGTTCCGGTATTTATGCAGTCAAAAAAAAGAAGTATATTAACATTTTTATGTCAGAAAAAGTATTCATTGTATATAATAAAACAAATGGAGATAACGTACAATATTCAAGATCAAAATTCTATCATTCAGATGCTGGGATAATAAAACGGACTATTCTGCAATATGTTCCATGAACTAACGTTGGGTTAATCTTCAAATGCACTTTACATATATTTGCCTGTTTCCTCAAGTGGTTTTTGTAAATATCAACCATGTAAAATATCACCTTAATTAATCGCGCTTTACTTTAACCACATTACATGATTTTTAATATGTATGTGTTAACTTTCACAATATGCCGATGTTGTAACTGCATAAAAATTGCATGGTTACCATGTTATAGCAATTAAAGTATGTAAGAAATTTTAATTCTCCGAATGCTTATTTGTTTTTAATTATTGAAAAGGACATAGTCAATGTGAGTCTTTTATCTATATCGATTATATTATTCAAGTAAAGAGATACAGAAATCTGTTCTATTCAGATGGTGGTACCTTTACTTTATATACTACTAGTAATTGTTAGTCCATTATTTATACATTGATTTGACGACAATTTTTTTCGTTATTTTCCGATCATGACAAGGAACACACGGCGGGTGTGACAGGTCAGCAGGGAATGCTTACTCCCCCATGGCACCTGATCCCATCTCTGATGTTTCGGAGGTCCGTGTTTGCTGTGTTCCTATTTTGTATAGTTTTATGGACTTTGATATTGAATACTGTTTGTAATCTCCATATTCTTCTCATGTACAGATGTAGTTATATACAGATAAGATAATAAATAGTAAGAGGTATTTAATGTAAGGACCTGTCAGATGTTTATAATTTAACTTGTCGTACTGTGTAATATTAATTGGGTGGGTGGACTTTACTTGTAATGATATTCCACCTGTGTCAAAACGTTGTGACATCATTGGCCGAGAATGTTAGATTTTGTATTTCTTTTAACATGCCATGAATTTGTTACCTTTCATCTTAAATATTCACGTATTTCTTGAGTTAACTGTCATTATCTTAGCAGTTCTACGTGTTTGCTTTAGCTGTAATAGTTTGAATCAACTGCTGCCATGCCACTTGTTTACATTCGGCCCGCCATCTTTATATCGGTGAATGCTATGTACACAGTTTCGTATTTTACCAAACTTGATATTCATGCTATATTACGGGCATAATTACTTGCTATTTATTATGTTAATTATTATTGTGGATTCTACTATTCATTTTAGCCGTTATTATTCCTGATTACATGTGTCTACAACTTGCACTATGTTTTTTATCCATCCGCCATATCGTCTGCATACTCAGCAAAATTACTTATGTGAAATTTACTAGTTTCAGAGGTAAATTGCTTACTTACTTATTATAGACACATATTTTGTAATCCATATTTATTGGTAATTTTATCTATTCACATGTTAGTTCCAGGGTTTGTTTGTTATCCATGTTGTACGACAACTTTGTCCGACAGTACGATACGATTTTCATTTTGTACAATGTCGAACATTGTCGTGATTGGTGGAACGTCGCCGTACAGCATTTTTATTGGTTGAATCTAGTCATGTGACCCTTTTCCGAAGGTTATATATATGGGCCGATCGCATTATGTAACCAGATAATTTGCCGAGTTGTCAAGCGCGTATATTTCGAAGAGACAATTCCAAGATACGCCCATATTTTCACCGTAGCCTTATATAGCATTACCATTGTGATTTTAGGTGAGAAAATGGTCGACAATTATCTCCCAACACACTGGACACCTATTTAATTGTAATTAACTGTGGGGATCATCCTAGTATAGCCATTTTACACCCCCCCTTTTTTTTATGATAGTAGCCTGTACGGTAGACACCACCAGAGTTTATTATTGTAACTGTTTAAATGAGTGCTGATTTATGATTTTATAATAAATATTGTTCAGACCAAGACGATTCATATGTTTCCCTATAACCAGAGGAACAAGGATTTTAGTACAGGAGTACTACCAGCATTTATTTTGTAGAGTCCCTGACTTAAGCTTGGCCATTCCCAGGGAGCTTACAATTATTTTCTTTATGTTTAAAAGACAATTACAACAACTATAGTCTTGAGAATGCAATAACATTTGACATACATGATGGCTTTATTCATTTCTGCATTTTCTGTAACAAACTAATCCAACATTTACATAATGCTAAATAATTTTTTTATTTTCTCGTACATATGTTTTCAGCATTAAATTTATTATGTCCTCCTGACCACGTTCCATTGCAATAAAAATAGCCTGGCTGACGACAGCACCATGTTCTACAAGATATTCAACAACTGGAAAGTGTCCATTCTCTGCAGCACGACATATTGAATTTTCATTATAGAAACCTTGCAAATTAACCTCTGCCCCATGCTCAACTAAATATTTAACAATGCCGAGATGACCTTGACCAGAAGCGCAATGAAGTGGAGGGTCACAAATGTTATCAAACTGGTTAACATCGACCTTATCAATAAGAAATTCTACCACATCTAAATGACCACCTTTACAAGCGGACGATAAACAACTAGCACCGACGTTGATATCAGCATCATTTTCTAGCAGAAACTTCACGGTCCTCAGATGTCCAGATTTAGATGCATAGCATAATGGAGTATTTCCGTTGCGGTCACATTGATTGACATTAGCACGGCGTTTGATAAGTTCTTCCAAAATTTCGAAGTAATCTTTGCTTGAAGCAACACATAAAATAGATGTGTCAATTTTAGCACAAATTTTTTGATTTATATCAGCGCCATTATCTAAAAGGTACCTTATAATGTGTAAGTGTCCATTCATTGCAGCACAGTAAAGTGGATTCTTTTTAGAAGAACTTAGCAAATTAACATCGGCCTCATGTTCAACTAGATATTTCACAATACCAAGATGACCTGAAGTGGCAGCACAATGAAGTGCAGGATCACATTTGTCACAAATTTCATTGACATCTACCTTTTCGATTAGATATTCAACAACAGTACGCTTACCATTTATACAGGCGGCAGATAGACACGTGACATCAATATTCACATCAGGATCACTAGTAATGAAATGTTTAATAATTTCTAGGCTGCCTACATAGGATGCAAGCTGCAACTGGGACAGGTTATCTTCGTTCCAGACTGCGCCGTTTTTCGTAAGATACCTCACAAGATGTACATTTCCTGACGCCACTGCTGCATAAAATGGAGACGTCCCATTTACCGTAAACAAATTAATGTCAGCACCTTCTTCGATAAAGGTCTTAACTACGTCGTATTGACCAAACAAACAAGACAAATGCAGGCAAGAAAAGTTGTCCTTATCACACTTATTGACGTTTGCTCCTTCGTTTAGCAGAAATTTGACAACGTCAGTACAGCCAACAACAGAAGCAATCATTAATGGCCTCCAACCCTGATAATCAATGTAATCAATACAGTCATGTTTTACGCAACTTAATATCAGTTTGACCATATCCAAACTACAGCTAGAACAGGCAAGATTTAAACAATACGACTGTGATTCTAGATCATTACCAAATACTACTCCCTGAATGTCCTGACTGCTTTTATCAGTGAGACAAGCCTTTCCTTTTACAAGCTGACTTTTTTCTCTGACAATTTCTATTAGACCAGAAAGTAAATGAATGTGGTTATATGCAATTAACCAGTTTACAACCCGTACATGAGATTCGTCCAAAAGAAAAAGTCTTAAGTCTACTGTAACATCTACTTTTGTTTCTAAAAGGTTTTCCATTTTTTGGTTTATTTCATGGAAAAGTTTCTTCGTTTTTTTATTTAAATGTTCATCAGTCTTGCTCTCAAAAAACAATTGTTTAAAATCATCATAACTGAATTTTTTCAAAGTTTTGCAAAAAACCGAAACAAATACTTCGTTTTGAGAAAATTTTCCTATTCTGCTGAATACGTCATAGAGATTGAATTGTTTAATGTCACGAATTATGCGGTTGACCAACACGGGAAAATGATCAACACCGACAGGAATAAGATTATCACTGCATGTTGACCCCTCCTCCACGAATGTTAAAAGCTTGTAAAAAGAGGTAGAGGTAAAATGTTCAATAAAGAAGTCTTGAAAATATCTTCCAAAGTGAACTGCCACTATTTCGAACAAGCTGTCATGAATGAAAGAATATTTACCATCAGTGTCCTGCATCAGATAAGATCCCACCAATACCTGAATTGCATCTTCAAGTTCTGAATTTGATGTTGACCTGTTTAATCTACAGCATTCATAGACTTCTTTTAGACATTTTCTATCTAAAGATTTTGGAGAGACACAATTATCTTTGATGACACAGTACACCAAGCCTGCATAATGTAATTTGTTGAGCTTTTGCATTTTATCAAGATCTGAAAATATACACTGGTATGGATGTAGGAAGAAATTTTCACCCTCAGACTAATATTTTTTTTCAGACGAAAATAATCTACACAGCAATGGAAACATAGGCGATTTTCTAGGTAGATTTAAATCTTTTAAGTATTTTTTCTGTAAGTGATTTTCTAATATATTTTTCATGCTTTCATCATTGAGCTCATTTTCTTCGTCATCTAAATCGATGACATGATTGATATCTGTAACAAAACTATTCAAAGATTTCGACTCCTTAAACACAACAGACCTACAACTCATGAGTAGTTTTGATCCCGACTCTATTAAATTTAGCACATTTTCAGAATGCCTGCTCAGATTGTTATACAAGCTCAAATCTAGACCATATACACCTAGCACATCATCTATAACGAATAATTGCTTGAAATGCAGCTTTCCATAAAGGATTATCTCTTCAAATGCTGAGACTGGAATGATCTCATATCCCTCGTGTGCAAGCTCCAGAGCAATGTGACGAATGAGGAACGTTTTTCCTCTACCACCACTGCCAGTCACTGTCACGAAAGACAAGGACTTGAGTTTATCACGAACTGACTGATAAGCAGGAACAGTCACAAAAAGTTTGTCCTCTTCTTTCCACTTTCCTACTTTTTTCTGAAGTTGTTCTAAGATAGAATCATAAAAGTAGTTTTATACAAGTTTCCGCGCTATTAACAAATAAATATAGTGATTGAATAAAGATAGATACATCGTATTTCTGTCAGATTTTATTCGATGACGATTTTTTTACGCATTTTTTATAATATATATATTTTTGACGATTTAAATTGAAAACAAACTCATATAAACACAACCTCATCATATATCACCTACACGTCTTCTCACACAAACACACACGCACCCTTCTTACACCACACCCCCCCCCCCCCCCACACTCACATACAAACGCTCTCACACACAACTGCATTGAACTTTATTTAATAATGTTTTCCCTTTAAATGGAATTTACGTCAGTGAGCAGCCATGAGAGCATAATGACGCATAATAGAAGTAGTAATTAACTATTTTTTTTTCAATTTAAAAACTTAAAGCTCAATACTGAACCATGCATGGTTTAAGAGAACAGAATATGTACCTCTTATGTGTTTTGGAATGTGATCCTCTACGCGTTTTTCTACGTTCTGAAGTCTTTCTGTCAAAACAACCAGACTTCGTTTAACTGAGGACCGTGCCACGTGATCTAAGTCTTTGTTCTGTAAGGAATTTATTTCTCCATCCAGCTGACCTCCAGCAAGTCTTTGTATGACCTTAAATACAAAATACAAAATAATAGCAACGTTTGCACCAATTATCTAAGGAATGAATTTAATAGCTACCCATTTTATACGGTAGAAACTGGGTCGGGGCAGTTTACGCTTTATAAACCGCGAAAAGGTTTATAAAAAATCGTAAACTGTTCCAACCCAGTTTATACTGTATAAAATGGGTGGCTATTAAATTCATTGCTTATAATTTAATTTTCATTCATTTCATGTTAGAAAATAATATAATTGTTCTCACAAAATGACTTCATTTTGTATAAAATTTGAATGTAACGTTAGACGGATTTATACGTTTTTGACGCAAGTGATTGTGACGTAGGCAACCCATTTTATACGATATAAAGTAATTTTTTATCCAACCTAATACATCGTTACAACCAGAATTAAATTCCCAGCAGGCATACAACATTGAATAAACTTTGAATCAACGTTGTTTCTTGTATGTTGATTCAACATTGATTTTATGTTAGATTTGTATCAACGTTGAAATCTTAACATTGAATCAATGGTAATCATTGATAATCAACGTTGATTATATGTTGAAAAACAGTTGATTCAACATTTATTCAATTATTTATTTTGGAAAGGGGGGTGTCATATAGTAATAATATACTTTCTTAAAATTTCAACCGTTTTATTGCACGGTTGCTAAGATTCCTTCATAATTGTTGAAGGGATAGCGACCCTCTGAGGAGACAGATAACGTTCAAAGTTCAAAGTAGTAATACTATTTCTTAATCACTTTCCTGTGACATCTGAGTAGTCAATTAGATGAGATCAAACATTACTTTCTATTTCTTTTGCACATTCTTTTGTAATTGTTTTATTATATTTAACAATAAAACATTTAAATCCAACATCAAATCCTTATAAATTGAATAAGTTGTATCTTTTTAAGTACCATTTTAAAAATGGTTTTATATTTTAGGAACTTAATACAGTATTTTAATAAGAATGACTTTTTCTTTTACATGAAGAAATATTTAGAAAAAAGATAACTCCTCATCACAGATATATTTTTTTCTTACAACCACATACAACACTGTGATTTTCTGAATTAGGAAAGACCGGTCCATGATGTTTTCTAACATGATTTAACTAGGTAAATAGTAAGTATTATTTTCATATGCACCTCATATATTATATTTAATGTTGTGGTAATAAATCGTTACTCTTTCTATTCTCTGTGTTCAATTTCTTCATTTCAGGATCTGCACATAAAAATCATTCCTGAAAAAATAAGCAGCGCTTTATACTTCAAACTATTTTCCATGTGGCTTTAATGTTATTGTTGTTTATGAAAATCAATATTACAAATTTAAAACTTTCTAAGGTGAAATTTTAAGCAGAGGGTCCTGACCCCTAAAATGAAAACATACGGTATAATACTATATGGAAAAAAATTATATTTTATAAACCGTAAGTGTTTAATTTCCTTTCAATAGTTAATCGTGTTACAATAATTTTCACCAAATACATTTCATAAACTAATCATGTTACAAAATCCGAACATTTACAATTTACAAACGTTTTGTATTTTCACATGTGGTCATGAAATAGTCCGGAACATGAAACCATTCCAAGGTAAGATGCAAATCTTATACGGTACAACTTATGATGCACCAGATATGCATTTCGACAAATTATGTCTCTCAGTGTTACTAGAATTCTGACATGCCGAAATTTTTCTTTAAAGAGTATTTGTTTTTTATATATTAAACCTTGGTGTTTAGTCCTGAGAGTTGTGTTATGCTGTCTTTTTGAATATTTTCTTTATGTCCTACTGCGTATCCTCTTAATGCGTACTTTGACAAATTCGTACTGAATTCATATTCATGATTGAATGTGTAAAATTTCTATATTTACCATCCTTGTTAGTTATAATGGTAAGTAATGATATTCGGTAGTGCGACTTTGTCAAGTCCGACCTCGTTATGGTCAGACAGTGTTAAAATCCGACACTATAATAGTCCAAATTATCTATCAGCGAAAAATAGGATTGGTCCGCTCAGAGAAGATCCGACGTTGAATTAATGCTGGCAATTCAACTCAATTTGAATTCAATGTTGATTCAACGTTAAATTTTCAACGTTGAAGAATCAACGTTGAATCAATATAATTGTATCTAGATTTATCAACGTCTTAACCCAACTTCATCTAATATTTAACGTTTAAACAACGTTGTGTGCCTGCTGGGTTATACATGTTTACATTTTACTTCAAATACGCGATTCAGGTCAATCGATGGCCGATAGAAAATAGTTAAAGGACAGCAAAAAGGTTATAAAAAATACAACGATAATAAACTATAAAAGATGTCAGCGGCATTTTTAGTTGTAGTTAAATAGAAATTTTGCATAATAAAAGTTTGTTTCTTGTTAAGAACACCAGAGCTTCAAGGTTAAGGAAAATGAGTTGCATCTACTTGCCATTTAAATGGATAAAACATTTTCTTATATACTCGTATTCACGTGTTTCTTGCCAGGGAATCAACCTGACAAATGTATTCACAGTTTAGTCAACAAAGGAATTTAAACAGACGCAAATCGCCTGCATTATGACTTGGAAGCAAGATATGTTTGTGAAACACTGATTCCACCGTATGGCAACATAGTGAAGATTAAACTTTTCTTTAATGCACATTTTATATATTGGTACCCAAAGTAGGGTTTCTTAACTGGAAATGCAACTGTGAAGTCCTATCACCATCTGTTCCTAAGGTATCGCCAGGTTAGTTTTTTTTTAAAAGAAGGGCATACAGAAATCTTCAAGATGAAGGTCAGAAGGTCAAGGTTATTGGTTTTCAATAAGAGGTCTTGTCACAAAAATTACATATGTGAAGTAGTAAATTTCTAGTCTTTACCGTTCAAAACTTACTGACAAAATCAACGTTTTTTTATGTCTTGAAACTTCTAAGGTCAAGGTGAAAAGGTCAAGGTTATTGGTATCCAATAAAATGTCTTACCACAAAAAATACACTTGTTACATGGAAGCCCTAGCTCTTACCATTCAAAAGTTATTGCCAAGGTTAAAGTTTTTAATAAGTAGGGAAATATTAATACTATATTAATATTAATTAAATATTAATACTTAGAAAGTTCATCGTCAAAAGGTTAAGGTTGATGGTATCTAATTAAGGTTATTGGTATCCAATAAGCGGTCTTGTCACAAAAAAATACATATGTGAGGTACAGAAGCCATAGTCCTAACCCTTCAAAAGTTATGGCAAAGGTTAAAAATTGTAAAACGCAGGTCAAACACAAAGGTTTACGTCATAAGCTCAAAGGTCTTTGAATCAAATGAAAGGTCTTGTCACAAGGATTAAATTAATAAAGTATAAATACTATATACTATATGCTTTAAAAGATATAGTAAAGATTTGTTTTTTAAAGTAGGTCAAACTCCAAGGTCAATGTCAAAGGGTCAAAGTTATTGGTATCAAATGAAGGTCTTTAACAAGAATTACATATGTGAAGTATAAAAGCTCTAGCCCTTAAGGTTTCAAAAGTTATTGCCAAGGTTAAAGTTGTTTAATAAGTATGTAAATCTTTAAGGTCAAAAGGTCAAAGTTATTGGTATTTAATGAAAGGTCTTACCACAAAAAATACAAATGTGAAGTATAAATGTCATTGTTATTTCTGTTCAAAAGATATGACCAAAGTAAAAGTATGGAATTTTTGTGTAAAAGTGGGTCAAACTCCGAGGTAAAAAAGTCTTTGGTGGTACACAAAGAAAGGTCTTGTCCTAAGGAATATATCTTTATTGATATGAAAGTCATAGCTCCGCTAAATCAAAAAAATGAATATTTTCATTCAAATTTACACTTTCATAAAAAAAAATAGATTTGGTATTCATTGGGCTCGAACTCTACCAATCAATCAATATACAACCGAACCCTAGCAATAAAATCATTTCCAGCATTTCTTTTGAGGCTAGCACGGTAACCACTAGACTACACAACTACCGTAATGGATTACGGCATTTAAGTTATGTTTGTTATATAACCCTTGACTTCGTAGACTGTTAAACAGTGGACTCCAAGTATTTCTCGAAAAGATGCGATTGTTATGTCATTAAAGTATATTTTTAAGGTATGGTGGGTATTTGATCAATAATTTTGGTAAACAAATTTTTTTTTTTTATGCAAACTTTGAAGATTAATTCTAAAAAAAAAAATAGAGCGATGACACACTCATATCGAATATAGTTTAACTAGAGGTACTGAGAGCAATGAGCTCACTAAATGATACCCCCGCCTCCCATATGAATAAAATGGCAGTGTCCATGTTTTGCTCTGGAAAATCCAAAATATATTTCAGATCAAAAAGTAAAATAAGAGGTGCACAATGGCAATATGTAATAAAGATTCTGTGAAAGTTTCATCAAATTTCCTTGTGGTGTGAGAGGAGTTGCGGATAAGAGATGGGTACCCCAAAGCGTAACAGACGGACGGACGGACGGATAAACGGACGGAAATACCGATTACTATATACCCTCCCGCTTTTCAAGCAGGGGGGTATAAAGATATATATTCCGTGTTTAACAGTATTTTTGTACAGCTGAAACCAAACAAAAATTTCTGAAGTATGATTTGCCATAAAAAATGAAGCATCTTGCAAATTCGACAAAATATTATTTGGTATTAACAAAGTACTGGTCGGGAAAAGAACATAATATTCTAATGCATATCTATGAAGGATTGAGGTTTATGCTGGATCTGCGCATGTGCACGGGGAAAAGTATCGCGAGAATAATTGATCAGGTCGAAGAAACTATTTTCAATGAATTGTCTCATGGGTAACTACATAAAATGCCACATGTGTATTTCGAAAAGGCTAGTTTTTTTAAATCGCTCTCGGAAAGACGTGATGCAATTTGCCAAGCATTTTAATTTATGCCGTACATTTTTATCTACTAATCCCATGCTCATTACATAAAAATGATAAACGATGATAAAAATTAGTTTCCCCCACTCCATTGTCAAGTCCGTTTGTTTACAGCTTTCCCCGTGCTGCACTGTCAGTCAAAAGTCAATTTCACATGACTATTCCTCGGTACAAAAAGCAATCAACTTTGAGGTGTGCTCACGTATTGACAATGTTTACAACGTATACAACTTCGAAACACACAATTTGCTTCTCAATACACGTTCCACGATCAATGCACATGATAAAAATTATTATATAGATGTAATTTTAAAAAAAAATGCAACTTAAGTTTTCTTTATAAATGCATGAACTTTAAATTTCTAGTCACAAATAACTGAGCAACAACTAATTTAACCAGTTACATGGCAAATTTACGAGTATCGAGTCTAAAAATTGGAGTCTTATTTACTTGTGGAGACTTTGTGAGCCTATTCTTCGAATTTTTTCTCAAACAACGTTTCAAAAAACTGTAAATTGAATTTCCAGCAGTTATTTGAAATCGCATCCTAAATTTCCCTGTTTGTATTAACAATAAACATGTAGTAGACCATAATGCTTTTCGGCTCATTCACAAGATTGCATGGACCATTGTTTGCTCTGAGCATGCGAGATCACGTGATCATGAATATTTCAATAAGAGGTGGTTTAACATTCGACTCGGAGAGAAAAAATTTTTACTAAGTAGTATTTCATAACTTCTTACAGTGATGGAGTGGAATTGTCTCATTTGCAGAAAGTATATAACTTATATAACTTGATGAGACACCATATACATGTATATTTATTTCTTTAAAAATAAAACACTAATACGGCATATAAATCTTTAATATCGAGAAAAAAAATACCCTTTTTCCCCTCTTTTAGGTGTGTATATTATTTCGTAGGCACATAACCTCAATCTTCATGAGATTTATGCAAGTTGTAGCTATTTTACATTATTTACATATTTTTAAAAGCCATTCTTCCTGAAAACCAAATGCCTTGAATATTGCACAGATTTGTAATATAAAAAAGTTCTTCCAGCTTTGTAATGTAATTGTAGAGATAAGAGAAAACTGAATAAAATGTTCGAAAAATCTTTACCCCGTAAATATGACTGATAAGAAAAAAAACATTCCTTCACCTCCTTCAATTCTTTCCATTTCTTTTCAAATTCATTGTGGCTAATTGACTGTGGTCCATGACAAAGTGAGTTACGACAGATTCTGACTCGTTCGAGGTCGTCAGATGGATTTGTATCCATGGGATCCGGAGTTCCTCCCCAATCTTTTCTTGGTTTTTTAACTTTAGTCGATTTTCTTATTATTTTGTAAAGTAACGATATGTCAAAACTTGTAGATGTTACTGGTCCATATCCTGTAAAACAGAAGCTAATTAGCTGAGATATATGACCACACTTTGATCCTTAACGTGTATAGAATTCGGAGCTGAATTTTGTAGAAAATCTGCTTACAAGTAATTGTTTTTATCAAAATATTTTGAACTGTGTTTACCATGAGAAAAGATTTAATTGTCTCTATTTCTAGATGAAAAAAGATGTAAAACTAGCTTAAAGTCATTTTTCTTTAAATAATTAAATCCAGTAATTTGTCACCGTTTGTATATATTATTTGAAAAAAGCTGGCTTTTTTATCTAAAAGTACTACGATAAAACAGTAAAACATGTTTTCAATATCACGTTACATATTTAACATAAAAAAAATACCCATGAAACTCTATGTGGTGAAGCACTGCATTGCTATATATAATGAAGAAAAAAACCGTTTATTAAATACAATTCTCACCAGGAAATAACGTTGATATTTGTGCGTCGTTGGAATTCTTGAACAGTTTCTTTTCATGTCTTTTTAAATGACTTTCAAGTTGATCTGGTGGAATAATAGTATCAAACCACATCCTAACTGCCTTTTCTGCGATACCAATACCCAGAAAATAACGAAGACAATTTTCCTCTTCTTTGGAAACAATTGACTCATCCTCTGTTGTAAACACAAAAACCAAAGTACAGGTATCATTTTCATTGCTGGGGACATTAATAATAAATAACATTAATAATAAATTGCTGGGAAATGTAAAATGAATATTTTAATTTATTTTCATGTAAAAGACAAAAAAGGCAAAAACTTGAATTCATTAAATCCTTATTCAAAGTTGTAAAACCTGAATTCTTAAAAATATTATTATTAGTTTGTGTAAAATATTTGGAAATCTGAAAAATTTAATGATTTTTTTTAATGAATTTACGGAACCTTAAAGAAGTTTTAATCTTAAAGATATACACACCAGTTTCGAACTCTGGGTTTTCTGATTGTGAATCTTCTGATTCGGATTGTGAAGAATCTACATCTGTATACGTATCGTGCTGTGGTGATTCTCTGTCTGACATGGTTTGTTTGTATATCTACTACAATTCACATCCTGCAAAATATTTCATCCCTTTAAACAAATAATTAAAAAAAAAATTAAAAGACTAATTGATATCAAGCTACATACATAGCTATGGGTCTCCAGGTTTAGACCTGATTACATTAGCCTCTTGATTTTTCTTAGTAACAGATCTTTTCTTTCTTTACTCAAAGAAAGATTCTGTATCTGTATTGTGAACCAAACATAGCATTTCATTTTTATTCAAGATAAAATTGTGCTTTATATCAAATTATCTAGTTTTCAATTAATCATGAGAATTTGTTGTATCAAATTTAGAAAGGCTGTACGTTTTCACATTACAGAATTTTGTAAAAATTTGGCAATTTTAATTTCTGATTTACACCACTTCTTAATTTTAATAAAGCTACAAACATTTGGGCGGGCTCCGATGAATCCACTGGGTTTAAATTGTTTTGTTTTTTTAATAAATGTGTGGGTCGCCTCACCTTGGGGCAATCAGCATACACTATGCAAATATTATTTTCCAGTCAAATGACAAAATTACAAAGGCTACTTTTAGGTTTTGTGGGTTTTCCGTAATGATTGTGGCCACGGGACATAACTTGTAGAAAGTGTGAAATCAACAATTCTTGTTTCAGTAAATTGTCTGTCAATAGTTTACCTCGTTTTAGAAATTGTGAATACATACATGTTTAAAACATTGCTTATCGAATCATTGAGAGATATGAACGCCATCTGCAGGTGATGAAGATATAATGGAGCATAAGGAAGGGAAGTTGACAATTATAAATTTAAAACGCTTAGTAGTTAAATAACCATTAAAGTCATTTTAGTAAAATATCTAATTATGAAGAGATGTTTCAGACTTTGTTGTATCTTTTATTTCGTATCGCCCAAAGAATGAAAATTAATATTACTGTTGTTAATTGACAAAACGTCGTCGATATCTCTAAAAATGTCGAGGTGATGGTACAGAGACTGTTCATATATTTTCGCTTTTGACCTATCGAGTTTGAGGAAAAATATCAAAATGGATATTTTAAAGAAAGAACCAGGTGAAATAAAAAATATCAACACACTACTTACCAATATAATGTTATCGTTATAGCGTACCCTTCTGACCTTAATCTGATGGAAAATAAAACGAGAATTGATTTTTAGCTTTCTACCTTCCCGGTTACCTGAAACTATTTTAAGAAAAGAAGTCTCGCGAGAACTTACGTCATAGACCTAGATACAGTATATAGATTATCCGGCGGGGTTATACATTACCGATTATGGGTTAAAAAAAACCTTTAAGGTTAAGTACCTTTATTTTCCCGATTATTCTCAGTTAAAAACACGATTTGCATTAAATTCAGATTTAAAAATATCCAGTGCATGCTTCTGCTTTAAAATTATCTCGATGAAATCTACTCATTTAGGTTTTCCTTGACTTTTACTCTAGTAGGCATGTATTTCCAACAATTATACCTAGACTTTTTTTTACTGTCATTCCTTAAATCCTTTGAAACACTTCTCATCTTTTGTCCGGAAGTTGTTATAGCTGTAATGTTTTAATTTTCCAAAAAAAACAACCCATAATAGATGTCTTAATTTTGTATCTGAATAAAGTGTTTGCAAGAAATATGGAACAATGCTATATACATGTATGTGTAATACTTTTCTTTTAAGACTTGTCAACAATGGCCGAAAATACTCAATGGTTTTTTTTTTATTGATTTTGAAAATTTATATCTGATTGGTCTATTTTCAGTTTTTTTTCTAATAAAATCAAATTATAGAAATTAGAATTATTAGACAAAAATTTGAGGGATATCACCTGTGCACATAATTTAATTCAAGTTATCTACGTGCTGCTGAAGATCTGAGACAACGTGCAAGCTTCAGAAATAAGAGCTGTGCACTGTTATCAGGAAAGAACAGATGTTGTCTGTTGATGTATTATGATCGGGCTCGGGATGCTTGTAATTTGTTGTTATGTTTAGACGCCATGCTTGAATAAACGTTGTGTTCATCTATGAAATGTTTCATCAATGATTAGCCCTGATAGGCATATCAACATGGTGGCAGCGGTGCAAACTTGTTGTTAGTGTTACCGGTCGTCCCCGAAAGAGATGTTCCATGAACTATTGTGAGTTTTTATAGACAAACTTTGAATTTATTTTTCAACACGTGCTCTGTACACAACCGCCATATTGGATTCAGATTCGATTCTCAGTAGCCTGAAATTTTTATTCGGAATGGTGAACAAGAACAAGCTGCAGGACCTGTACAGATGTACAATTGTCCGTTCAGATTACCTCCCCAACTTGATTTATCCTCTGGAAATGTATCCGAGAACTACAAAAAGTGGAAAATACAAGTTGAAGTCTACATGTTTGCGTCAGGAGGAATCGACAAAAGTAAAGAGGTACAAGTAGCAATTATTTTGAGTTGTGGTGGACCTCACGTAGTCGAGATATATGACCAGTTTCAGTGGGAAGACGAATCTCATAGGAATGACCCTGCTAAAATATATGAGAAGCTACAAGCCTATTGTAATCCTCGTTCCAACGAAGTGTTAGAGTCTCACAGATTCTGGAAGTTACCTTATCAGGAACCCTTTGATAAATTCCTTACAGAATTAAGAACACGTGCAGCGTCGTGTAATTTCCAGGAACAGGAGAGGATGATGCGTGACAAGATTGTATTTACAGCTACTGGTAAGCTACAAGAACTACTGTTACGAGAAGACAAATTGACTTTGAACAGAGCAATTCAGATATGTAGGGCTTTTGAACAGTCAAACATACATGTGAAAGAGCTGCGAGAAAACATCACTTCATCTAACAAAGTGAATAAACTATCCACAAACAAACGACAGAAAAACTTCACAAAGCAGAAAGTGACACACAAACAGAAAAGTGATTCACAGTCTTCGAGCAAGGAGAAGAAAGAGTGTAATTTCTGTGGTTATAAACACGAACATGGCAAATCAAATTGTCCAGCATGGGGCAAAAGATGTGACAAGTGCAACGGGAGAAATCACTTTAAGTCCAAATGTAAGAAAATACATGCTGTTGGTGAAGACAATGAAGACAGTCCAGAGTTAGAAGACAGTTGGCTCCTGGCATTGAAAAGCAAAGATAAACAGAGCAAAGACATCACTGCGATAATGAACGTAAATGATTGCGACGTACGTTTTCAGTTGGACAGTGCAGCTGACGTAAATACCATTTGTCAGAAATATGTGAAGAGGGAACAGTGTCGTCCGTCGAACATTCGTCTTAACATGTGGAACAACACTCATATGAAACCCCTCGGTGAAGCCGAACTTGATGTAATCAATGTGCGTTCCAACGTCGTCCAGAAACTTAGATTTGTAGTTGTGCAAAACAATCTTACCTGTCTACTTGGCAAGGATGCAATTCAAGACATGGGACTTGTGACAGTGAACAGTGAGAAGTTCATATCTAAAGTTGGATTAGAACAGCCTCTTGGTGACTTGGGCATTGCAACTCTGAAAATTGACCCCACTATTCAACCCAAAGTACTTCCGTGCAGGAAAATACCAATTGCTATCCAGGACTCAGTGAAGCAGGAAATCGACAGACTTGTTGATCGAGGTGTTTTGATACCAATTACAGAACCAGCATTGTGGGTTAGTCAGATGGCAGTGGCTCACAAGTCAGACGGAAAGTTGCGAGTTTGCATAGATCCACAACCTCTTAACACAGCTTTGATACGAGAGTACTACCGATTACCTGTATTAGATGACGTACTTCCAAAGCTAACGAATGCTAAGGTATTTAGCAAACTTGACGTTAAAGAAGCGTTTTGGCATGTTCGCCTTGATGAGGAATCGAGCAAACTTACAACTATGATAACGCCATTCGGGAGATACAGGTGGGCTCGTTTACCTTTTGGATTGAAAGTGTCTAGTGAAATCTTCCAGCGACGGCTAGACGAAGCATTATCAGGACTGGAAGGTGTGTTTAGCATTGTCGATGACATTATTATTGCAGGATGTGGTGACAGTGAAGAAGCAGCAAAGCGGGACAATGAACTCAAGATGCAGAAAGTTTTCCAGAGATGTGAAGAGAGACATATTACATTAAACAAGGATAAGGAAGAATCCGGACTTCGTGAAATTTCATTTCATGGACACAAAATTTCTAAGGATGGTGTCAAGGTTGATGAAAGTAAAGTGAAAGCTATCCTTGAAATGCCAGCACCGACTGATGTCTCGGGAATCAAACGCTTATGTGGAATGGTTCAATACATGTCAAAATTCCTACCAGACTTGTCGAAGGTATTGGAACCACTACGACTACTTACCCGTAAAGACCAAAAGTGGAACTGGGACAGCAAATGTGAGTCAGCATTTCAGACTTTGAAGCATAAGTTGACAGAAACTCCAGTTCTGGCTTATTTTGATCCTTCAAAGGATGTTACACTGCAAGTTGACAGCAGCAAAGAAGGAATTGGTGCCGTACTACTCCAAGATGGAAAGCCGGTCGAGTACGCATCAAGAGCTCTTACACAAGCAGAGAGAAAATGGGCTCAGATAGAAAAGGAAGCTTTATCCGTTCTCTATGGACTTGAACGCTTTGATCAGTACACTTACGGAAGAAAAGTTTTTATCCATAATGATCACAAACCATTATCTGCTATATTGCGCAAACCATTAGGATTAGCACCTAAAAGACTGCAAGACATTATGATGCGTTACTTCAGATATGATGTAGAATTCGTATTTGAGAAAGGAGTGAACCTTGTTATAGCGGATATGCTAAGCCGAGCTTTTCTCATGACAACGGAAGGAAGTGTAGATGAGCGTCATAGGATTCTATCTGTCTCGACATTACAAGAAAACGACGTACCAGATGTCAGAATTCAAGAAATTAAGGACATGACTGCTAAAGATTCAGAGATGCAAACATTGGCCGACACCATAGCCAATGGATGGCCTGACAGTAAACAAGATCTTCCAACGAGTGTGCGCCATTACTTTGATTTTCGTGACACACTAAGCTGTGAAGATGGACTCATCTTGAAAGGAGAAGCAATCGTCATTCCAAAGACACTTAGATCAGAAATGAAGATACGATTACACAAAGCACATCTAGGATATGACAGTATGATTAGGAGAGCTCGTGGTGTTATTTTTTGGCCTGGGATGAAAGCCGACATTAAACAGATTGCAGATTATTGTGGAATTTGTCAGGAAAGAAAACCGAGAAACTGTAAGGAACCTTTACTTCAGCATTCAACATGTGAATTTCCCTGGCAGAAAATTGGACTGGATTTATTCGAGATACAAGGAAAACACTACATGGTCTCGGTAGACTACTTTTCCAGTTTTATTGAGGTAGATTACCTACCAACAACGACGAGCGCAAGGGTGATTTCATTGCTTAAGAAACAGTTCTCTAGATTTGGCATACCAAATGATATAATATCGGATGGTGGACCACAATTTAGATGTCAAGAATTTCAGGATTTTGTGAAAACCTGGAAGATCGATCACAAATTCTCATCTCCGATGCATCTGCAAGCAAACAGAAAGGCTGAATATGCGGTGAAGATCATCAAAACACTGATGATTAAAGCACAGGAGGATGGAACAGACCCATATGAAGCGTTACTTGAACAACGTTGTACTCCGAGGCAGGATACCGGTCTAAGTCCAGCACAGATGATGTTCAACAGAGAGATACATGCTACACTCCCTATGAGATCTCGAGTGGGCAATGATTTTGGAATAGTGAAGTCCAAACACAGATCCAGACAGATTGCCGTGAAGAAAGCACGAAACTTACCTGAAGTCGATATTGGACAGTCCGTTTATTTCCAACACCGGGAAGGACAGTATTGGAAGCTTGGAAAAGTGATTCAAATACTTGGACAGAGAACATACGTTATTGCGGACCAACAAGGAGTCGAATATCGAAGGAACCGAATTCATATTAGACCAACTAAAATACAGACCCATATTCGTGATCAATCTCCAGTTCGTGATGAACCAATCAGCAAACGTGTACTCTGTGAATTTCCAAAACCGTTCAGTGGACCAAACGAGTGTATATCTAGCAAACAGATACCAGTGATTACAGACTCGAACGAACAACATTGCGTACCAGACTCGATTTCAGAAACTGTCATCAGCAAGCCTCACAAGGATACTACGCCA